TTTACAATCATATTATTTATAATAGAATGACAGTTAAGAAGGTCTTCATTCAATTAATTTTGAGTTTAAGAAAGTTATTATCTACTTTATCAATTATTATACTATATATTTAGCATATAAATATTGAGGATTATTCATAATATATTAAAAAATCTTCTGCTTTATATACTAAATAAAAATCTTGTTATTATTTTTTTAAAAAAAATATATATATATATACTCTACAAAAATGTAATTATTGATTTTTATTTTATATTTTTCAAAAAATAAGAAATCTTGTCAGAGTTTACTATATCAAAACTCTCATTTTTCATTCATAATTACTTTTAGATTTAAAGTATATATTCAGTATAATTATTAGATTATTTAGAATACATTCTAAATATATTAGCAAAGAAATAATAAAGATTTTTTTAGAAGATTTATATGTGAATAATATTTGATGTTATGACTGGATGTTGATCTTGATGATTACAAATCTACAAATATGTAATAGAGTACAAATATCAAAAATATCAAACATATTAAACATGTTAGATATTTCTAATATATAGTCAACCTTCTCTAAATGCATCCCCTCGAGACTATAGTGAAAATTTTAAAAAATGCACATTTAAAGAGGGTATGCATTTAAAGAGAAAATTTTTATATAAATTCTATATGTTTGGGATTGAACAAGAGCATGCATTTAGAGAGAAAATATATAGTTTATGCATTTAGAGAGGGTGTATTAAGAGAGGGTTGACTGTAATTAATATAGTTAATATAGTTAACATAATTAATATATTAGATTTATCAAAATATGTAATAGAATAGATATAAATACAAGTCCTTTTATAAGTTAGAAAAAGATAGACTGACAGCTGTATAGAAACCTCTTTCTTATAAAAGATAGCATAATGCTACTCTTTACTTCGTGTACTTTTATTTCTTATTTCTATTTCTTATTTCTTTTATATATTATTATTTTGTTATTTCTTTTTTATTTTAATAAAGTATTTCTTATTTTTTACATAAAACTTTTTATGAATTCCTATGAAAATTCTTGAATTATAATTAAAGCTGCTCATATTTAATAAACTTAATTTGACTTGATAAACTGATAGTAAAACAACTAAGATTAAGCATAAAACTAATTAGAATTATACATAAACTATAAAAGAGTCAACCCTCTGATACTGTATCTAATAGTTATAGCCTGAAAAGTTTGCACATTAACATTTGACGATAATGACAGAATCCTCTTCTCCTATTTACGTATTTTTACAAAACTGAAATAACTATTAATATACTTCCATAAATATATTTTATACATTTAACAATCTTCTCAAATATCAAAAAAATTCATCACCAACTGCACACTAAAATTGACTATAACATTAGGACTGCAAAACCACTCAACGAAGATTTCTCCTATTTACTTGTAACTTAAGTACTAATTTTTCTGAACTCTCTGAAGTCTATCAAACTTTTTTTAACTGGGCTGTTAATAATCTTGAAGTATAATAATATACAGATAAAAGCATAACTACATTTGAATAAGCTATTACTGTACTATCTATTAACATCCAATAAGTGTATTTTTGACAAACTTTGTATTTCTTACATTACAATTGATTATCCTTTACTACATTTAATGATAGCTTTAGACAAGGTCCAATTAGTACGATTTAGACTATTAGAATTAAACTAATTGGATTAGTCCAATCCAAGTCCAATTGCATTTGGATATTAATGAAATTTGGACTAAATTCACATTGTCTAATTTTTATTGAACTATGTCTAATAATTCTAATATTTAAAAAATCTTTCACAGTAAAAATCCTATCAACAATTAAGTTGAACTATAAAAAAAAATATTAACTACGCTTTTTTTATAATGAAAAACTAAATAATATAATATACTAAATAAAATTCAAAATCTTAAACACAAACTATTGTAACGCATTAAGCAAATATTAAATCAAATGTATATTTAGTCTATTAATTGAATATTTTTATGAAATATACAAGTTGAACCTAATTTGCTAGTTTAATAACTTTAATATTTTTTTTTAATATACGTAGCTTTATATAATTAGTTTAAGTTAACATTTTTGAAAAATAATAAAAAAAAATTATATTTATAAAGCTGCACTCAATTTTAATTATTATATCATATATTATCACATAATACATAACCAAATAATAAAAATAAAATGCTTTCGTTTAACATAACTTTTTTTAGTAAATATATAAATAAATTTATTATTTAAATAATAACTTTTTCATTTTTCGTAAAAAATCTTAGAATTTTTTTTTATTTTTTTATTACTTTTGCAAAAAAAACAAAAAAAAAATATTCTATATATAAAAAAAAATATCTTTTTCAAATTCTCAGTTCTGACGCCTCACTTACTATATTATTAAATAATCTTTATTTTTTTTTTTAAAAAAAAATGTAATTTAATTTGACAATTATAAAAAAAGACTAATAGTTACTTTAAAGCATTTACATAATTTAAGATTTTAAAATTTCAGCTATTATAATAACTCAGTAAGAAGAAAATTTAATTTTTTTTATCTTAAATTTTTTTATATATTGAACATCATTTAATGTTAATATTAAAATTTTAAAGTTAACTAATCAAGAATTTAATGATTTTTATAAAAATATTAATATAACATAAATAATGGATTTTTATAATTTCTCTCTTACTTTTTTTTAATAAAAATTTTATCATAATAGATCATTAGTAGCATTTTTTAATACCATATATTATAGTTTTTCATTCTGAATAAAGAGCAAATAAAAGTAACAAGTATGCTGTATATTGTGCTTGTATTAATATATTTGAAAAAGAAACTGCATATAAAGATAAATTTACAAATATAAAAAAAATGTACACATTATTTTTGAAGCTATCTAAACTTTGTAGCTACATATACTTCTGAACAGATAAATAAGTTGCTTGATAAAGCTAAAAAAGATGAAGCAAAATCTAATAAGTCAGTAAAAAAATGATTACAGATTGTATCAGATGATTTATTTGAAGATGAGGATTCTGATTTTAAAACTGAAACTGATGCTAATATTGATCCATTACCTGAATATAATAATGAAGTAGTTCCTATTTAAAATAAAAATATTTTAGATAATTATATTTTTCATCCATTAACATTATCTCAAGTATCTAGACTTGAAGAATTTTTATTAGAAGTAACAGTTTTATGTGACTTTTCATTTCAGTAGGTAGAGAATGATGCAGTAAAATGATTATTTTATTAACTTAATTTAATGATTATACTACAATCACAAAAGGTATTAAAAGAATGAATTCTTAAAGAGGTAACTAATAATATCAATAAATTTGCTTGATAGTGTAAAAATGATCTATTAGGTGTAATACTTACTTTTGATGAATGAAAAAATATTATGTGACAATATCTTTTAGAAGTTATTTTAATTAATTCTTCTGATGAAGTGATTATTTGAAAATCTATTGATTGTAAAGGTAAAAGAAGAACTGGAGATAAAATTGTATAAATTACTGAAGAGTTTTTACTGAGCTTCAATAATTAAATATTAAAATTAATGGTTTAATTACAGATTCAGCTTCAAAAAATACTGCTGTATGATAAATATAATTTAAAATTTTAAAATAATTTAATATTAAGAAATTCTAATTAAAAATTTAATTAATATAATAGCAAATGTCTACGAATTCTATATCGAAAGAAATTTTTTTTACCTTGCTTTGCATATCAAATGAATTTTTATATGAAAGATATTTTTAAAGAATTAAGTACTATTACTACTTTAGCTAAACAAACTGTTACAATAATTAATTTTTTTAATCAATCAAAAGTATAGATTGGAAAATTATATAAAGAACAAGTTGTAATATATAAAAACAAATATTATGTATTAATTATTCTTAATAAAACTTATTGAAATTCTTATTATTATTGTTTTATAAATTTATTAAGAACAAAATCTGCACTCAAAGTATTTATTAATTTTTTATATTTAATTTATTTTATATTTAATTTATATTATATTTATTAATTATTTATAATATTAATTAATTTTAGAATTTAGCAAATAAATTGAAAAACAAAATACTGATGATCTTAATGATTTTCCTAATGAATATCTTAGGTATATTTTAAATAATAATTGGTGAAAGGGACTTAGGAATTAGAAATAATTTATACTTCTTTATTATGCTGTATTAAATCAATTATAACATCATAATTCTTGATTGCATGAAGTACTTCATAGTTTTAGAAATATAATTACAGTCTTACAATCTTTTATTAATAAAAGTTTAAGCAAATTACTTTTAAAAAAACTAGAAAAAAGATGGGCTAATTGAGAACAACCTCTTTTATTTTTATCATTTTTACTTCATCTTAAATATTATATAACTAAATTTAATCCTATTATTAAAAATCTTTCTTTTTTTCATCTTAATCAATGGGTTACTTATTATTATATTACTTGGTTTAATAAAGAACTAATATTATTATTAGTTGAATTAGAAACATATAGAAAAAAAAAATATCTATATAATGATACTACTGCTTATCAATTTGATCAAGATATTTTGGAATTTTAGAATTATGTATATAGATATTTAAAGGAACTTTATCAAATAGCAGAATGAATTTTTTCAATTGCAATAATAACAGCATCTTTGAAAAGACATTTTTCTACTATAGGATGGTTATATTCAAAATAATGAAATTGATTAAAGATAAGAATTTATTTATTTATTATATTTTTTTATAAATTATAATATACTAATAAATTTTTATTTCATATTAGTCTGAAAAAGCACTTGCTATGACACAAATACAAGCTTTTATACAATAAGAATTAAAATTTAAAAAAATTAATAAGAAAATATATAAGTTTAAAATTACAAATATAGCATTACTTATATTAGCTAAAATTAATAATAATGTTAAATATACAGCTGATATATCAGATGATAAATTATCTGATATAGAAAATAATGTACAAACAGTAAGTGATTGATAAATTATAGTTTTAAAATAGATAAATATGTTAAAAAATGATTCAGATTTAAAAAATACTAATATTAATTATAATAAAAATGAAGAAGAAGAAGATATTTCTTTAACTAATATTTTTAATTTACCTCATCCTGCTATAAATAAAAATGCAAAATAAAAGCTTCAAAATATTTTTGTTGAAAATCTAGGAATGCCTAATTACTTAGAAAACTTTATGAATAATAATAATTAGGTAATAAATAAATAGTTTAGTATTAGTATAAATAATATATGTTGTTATAATAATAAATAATAATAAATAATAAATTTATAATATAAAAGTAATTTTAGTATTAAATTATAAAAATTTTATTTAAATAGACCTAAATATAAGTCCAATAATCTAATAAAATTTGGAATTAGATTAGACTAAGTCTAATAATTCAATAGTCTAATTGTTTAATTGTCAAATAGTCCATAAGGCCATCATTAACTACATTAGATCAAACAATTGGATTTTATATCAAAGATTTAAAGAAAAATTGTTATCATAAAACTGCAAAAATAATAAATTCTAGAACTGTTATCACTACTTAGTTAAGTATTAGTAAATAACCTTCTAATAAAGAAAAGAGAAGGAGCTCTCAAAACTTTGAAGATACTTTAGATATTACCAACTTTGACTCAGATTCTGAATACAAATCTGATGTTAAAAGTAGTAGTCTCTCTTATCTTGATATTACTGATAGTGTAAGATTTAGAAGTAACTATGGATTTAATAGCGCAAGACTGAAAAATTGGAATACTAGCTCTAAAAATAGGAGATTTTATTAATCTTACATTATTTCTGCTTTTAAAAATAAGGATAATGATGATGCTAAATCCTCTAATGTGAAAGGTAAAAATAAATAAACAGATAACACCACATAAACAGAAATGAGTAAAGGAAAAAGTCATAGAAAAAGTCATTGCAGGCAATCATGCTAATCTTCTCACTATAATAGTTCTTCTTCTAGTTTGGATTCTAGTGACAGTTTTTTTGAAAGTGAAGATGAAGTTGACCCAATAACTGAAAATATTAATAATGTTGATTTGTCTGACGAACCTCAACTCTTTTAAATACTAAAAGGATTATAAAATGTCTTAAGATCTATAGAATTTTCAGATTAAAAGAAGCTAGATTTGTGAACCTTCTTATGTTTAAAGAAGGTGACTAAGATCTTAGTGATTAATTAGAATAATACAACTATACTTGTGAAGCCAATAGCATTTCTGATAAAAGAAGATTAACACTAGTACTATTCTTTATAAAAAGATCAGCTCTCACCTGATTTAATAAAACAAAATTTAAAAAGGATTTATATTATTAGAATAATAATAGTGATCGATAACATAAATAATGATCCTTTATTTATTATTTTTTAAATATTATTACATTACTTATAGATAAACATAATGGAGATCTGTAATTTGATAATGTAAACAAAAGTCTGAACAATCTGTAAAAGAATATGCTATAAAAGTAGAATCTTTATATCTAAAATTAGACCCAAAATATAATACTCTAGAAAATGAAAAGATTGAACAATTTCTTTAAGATTTACGACCTGAATTTCATACTGCACTTGCTGCTACTACTTTACATAACTTAGAGGAAGTAATTGATAGAGCTTATTTAGTTAAAACTATATTATTTCGTGATACTACTTTATCAGGTTATTTGTTAACTAAAGCTTACTTAAATTACAGTAAGGAATTAAAGAAAGAAGAACAACCTGCCAATATACAACAACTTATTGATGAAAATAATAAAAGTTAATCAAAGAGTTTAAACATTTATTGTCTAATATTACTGTGACTCCTAAATCTACCAATAATTATACAAATAATAACTGAAGAAATAAATCATATAATAATATATCTAGAAGTAATAGACAAAACTGTTATAATTGTAAAAAAGTAGAACATCTTTCTAAAGATTGTTAAGCATTAAAAAATAATCGTAATAATGGCAATAAGTATTATAACTGCAAACAATTTGAATATTTTACAAGAAATTGCACTATTTAACCAGAAACTTCTTACTCTCATTATAAATAACATAGATATTAGGAAAATTTATGCCTAACTAAAAATAGATTTGGGACTAATGAAGGCTAACGTGCTACACTTTTATATTATACTTCAATAATATCTGATAATTAAAATATATATATACTGCTAATGGATACTTATTATCACAACTTATATATATGACTTCTACTCCTATTTATCTACTATATTCTCATTTAAACTACTAATAGTATTTTCAGAGAATGAGTATATCGAGAAAATTAAAATCCTCAAAAACAATTAAAGCTATTTATTATTATGCTTATGTAAATAGAAAACTAATATATTAATTTTAGATTCTAGATCAGCAAGAGTGTGATATTTAATCATTTCTATAACAATTAGGACAAAAAATAGAAAGTCCTTCCTAAATTACAATGATCAATATTCAAGATAAATGTTCTCTACTATTAGGATAAGTGTAAAACATACCAATTTAAATTGATAATATTAAAATTCTAATAAACGTTGATATTATTAAATTATTACATAGTGGCTGGTAATAATTGGCTTATTAAATGTCAAGTACAATTACATTAGGATAAAGGAGTTTTTATTTTTAAATGGAATAGAATCATACATTAAGTTCTAATAACTTATTAGAAAACACCTATATTCAATCAATTTCAACAACTAATACCAGTAATTAACTCTGTAAATGAAAAATATGAAAAAGTTTTAGTTTCACAATGACATTATGCAGTTTTAGGAGATAATATCAGTCAACCAATTCTTGCTAAAGCTAAACTAGACCAAATTCTAATTTAAGAATAATGATATTTTCTGTAATATTACGAAAATTTAAAGCAAAAGTTTGATGCGTAATCCCCTATTAATAAAAATTAAAATACCATTAGCAAAGACTAGGAAATTGATATTAGTGTCATAATCAACTTGATAAGCTTATGGATATTTATAAATTATGTTAAAAAGAGTAGAAATACTTGCAATTGCTCTCAAATATTCTTGAGAAAAAACTAAAGATTCCTAAAATTACTGCTTTTTAAAAAGGAAATAATAATAATAGTTAACTACCTTCCTTAAGCAAAATGATGATTTATTCGCAGATAATTTATCTTAACTAAGATATACTAATATCAAAACACATCATATATCATTAAAAATAGATATATTAATATGATAGAAAGTATATTGAGTTACTTCTTTTAAACAAAATTTTATCAAGAAAGAAATTGATAAAATATTAAAGAATAAATTGATACAACTATCTAAAAGTTCTTGAGTTTCTCCTATAGTTTTAATAAGAAAGAAAAATAGCAAACTAAAATTCTGTATTAACTACTGAAACTCAATAGTGTATCTCAATGAGACTGTTATTCTTTTCCATGTATTGATGAACTTTTAGATATGTTTAATAAAACTAAATACTTTACAATACTTGACTTAGCTAGCGGATACTGACAAATCGCTATAATACTTAAGGATTAATAAAAAACTGCATTTATTACTAGTTATGAATTCTATGAATTCACTGTTATGCCTTTTGGTTTAACTTATATATCAGTAATATTCTAAAGGTTTATGAATAAAGTCTTTAAAGAAGAAATTGAAAAATATGTAGCTATTTATTTGGATGATATAATTATCTTCTCAACAACTTTTAAAGAATACTTTAATTACTTTAAAAATATCTTTTAACAGTTAAAAAAAGCTAAAATTAGGATAAAATAAATATGAATTTGAAAAGCTTGAACTTGCCTTCTTAGAACACATCATAAATGGATAAGAAATTACTTCAGATCCTTCTAAAATTGAAAAGATTAGAGACTTTTCAATACCCTTCAATATTACTGAGCTTTGTGAATTCTTAAAACTCACTTCATATTATCGTCAATTTATACAAAATTTCTCAACTATTACTATATCTCTACATCTTTTACTTAAAAAGAAAATACCATATAAATAGACTGAAACCCAACAGCAAACATTTGAATATTTAAAAAAATGTTTAATTACAGCTCCTATTCTTATTTATTCTGACTTTTCAAAGAAATTTTTGTTATATACTAATAGATTATATATAGAATTAGGTGCTGTCTTAACTCAGTTGGATGATTAATAGAAAGAATATGTAGTTACATATGCTAGTCGAACTCTCAACAATTCTGAAAGGAACTATGCGTCTATTAAATTTAAATGTTTTATTGTTATTTAGACTATAGAACATTTTAAAATATATTTTCTTTATCAACCTTTTGATTTAATTACTAATTATGCTGCATTGCAATAGTTATTCAACAAACCTGATACATTACATAAATTTATTAGATAGATTATACGAATCATAGAATTCCCTTATAATATTTATTATTGCAAAGACAAAATATATCAAAACGCTGATATTCTTTTCAGATTGCTTTCCCATTAATTAAAACATCAAATTATAATTAACCTAGAGTGAAAGTGAAAGCATTAGCAGTGTAACTAATGGCTTTAGTATTCAAAAATAGATATAGAATTATACCAAAACCTTTATTAATACTTAACTCAATTCAGATATCCTGAATCATCTACACCTAAATAACAACTCTTTATACAAAAACAAGCAAAACATTATACTCAAGGTTGGGAAATTTGTATGTATTAAGCAAATTTTGATCTTGTACTTGTACTGTACTGTATTAAATTTTATATTAATTA